AAATTTTTCCAATGTCTTGTTTTCATCCATGTACTGGAAGAAGCCATTATCATTATGAACATCTTCTTCCACATCACAGTTCCACAGTGGCTGCTGCTGCTGCAATTCTTCTCCAAAAACATTACAATAATTACTATCATAGCCTTGATTCTGATGAAACCCCATTATTCCTGAGGAGCTGATCTGAGTAGAACTCCCATCAGAAGAGCTGCAACTTCCTTCACTTCTTCCAAACCCTAATAACCTCTCCTTGGCCTGTGGAGGATATTCATGATGATGATTATGATGCATCAAGCAGCAACTTTCTTGTGCTTGTTGGAAAAGACAAGAAAGGGTTTGGCCATTATTGCTTTGAAAGTGGTTTGACCAATTTGTTGATGGGATTGAAATGAGAGTTTGATCAATCCCTTGAGGAGGAGGAGAGAGGTTATAGTTGTAATTGACATTGAAGTCTTTGCAGATTAATGATTGGAGTGGTTGATCATGAGATAATGGAAATGGGGAAGCTTGTTGATGAGAATTAGGGAGTATGCTCATAATCTGGGGTTTCTTCTCCTCCATTGTTGACCTTCCCATAAGCTTCTTCTTCAGCTTGCTGTTCCAATGGTTTTTTATGTCATTGTCTGTTCTTCCCGGTAACTGAGTCGCAATGATCGACCACCTGCAATTATTCGAGCTACCTAAATTAGTTTCGTAAATCACTACTGAGCCCAAAAAGTTTAAGTGGATAGATTATGTTTGATTTAATCTTTATTCATAATCTAACATTATAGAGATTCTTGTTCTGATTCCATGTCAAATGACCACTTGATAATTAACCCTTTTTTCTTTTCCAGTTGAAATTAAGTTATTTTGAAAAAGGGTATGTGGGGTCATTAATAATATTTAAAAAAGTACACCTGCTTCCAATGGTGGAAAATAGAGTACAGATTATTCTATCTTCCTCCTCTGTAAATCCTCCATGTTTGATGTTTGGCCTCAGATAGTTGAGCCATCTCAACCTGCAACTCTTCCCACATCTCTTCAGACCTTCCCTCCACCAAAAGAAAAACCCCAACTTAGAGAGAAATTAGATGGTAAGTTTGAGATGATTTAAGAAGGAAAAAAATAAAGTTTTCAAAATTTTCATGGGGTTGATATTCAAAGTCCTAATATATATTAATTAAAGATAAGATACCAACCATTTCATTATGAGAAACATACAAAGGGAGCTAACTCAAAGCACTAAAAGAGCGAAGCGAAAGAAGTAGCGAAAAATACAAAAGGGAGGTCAAGTGAAAGCACTCCAGTTGAGTGAGACAATAGGGATATCGTAATTAGAAAGTATGTGAGGCTTAGAGGACCAATTTGAGGCTGTGAAAATCCTAAAAATTACTTAAAAAAACCCTTAAAAGTGATTTCTTTTTAAAATACTAATAGAAGAACTGTTTTCACTTTAAAACATTTGCTTCAACTGTAATTCCAAACTCACCGTTAGAGATTGTAAGATCAATTTGATTTTCTTCAAAAAATGCTTATAAGAAACGTATTTTCACTCAAAAATATTTCTTGACCAAACCCTAAAAAGGGATTAAGAGATATTGTAAGTTTAAGGTGATTTGCTCTCATAAGTGCTTAGAAAAACAGAACTTTCACTGAAAAGCACTTTTTCAACAAACCCTAAAAAGGACTAACAATTAGATTGTAAGTTCAAGCTACATTTCTTTCAAAAGTACTTTTATTCAGCAAACCCTAAAAAGGATTAAGAGAGATTGAAAGCTCAAGGCAATTTTCTTCCAAAAGTACATATAAAAAAAGGCACTTTCCACTCAAAAACACTTCTTCAGCAAAACCCTAAAAAGGGGATAGAACAAAATCTCAGTTACCAGCTTTGAGAGGGAGAGCAATCCAATTCCCACCAGTGCCATTCTTGTGTATAAAATCCTTGAGCTTAGCATCTTCTTCAGGAGACCAAGGACCCTTCTTCACATTAGCCTTATCACAGCAAGGAGATCTTCCCATTTCTCTCTGTCTTGTGTTTCTTCACCAAATGGGAGAGTGAAGCCAGTTTTTATAGAGAAGATCAGATTTGAGGGTTATTATGGGTATTATCATCATTATTATATATAAACAAATTAAACTCAAAAAGTTTGAAACAGTAAGTCAAAATGATGGACAAATGTTTTGGGAACAGTTTTCTAACTCCTATGGGAACAAGCTAGCTAGTCTGTGGAACTTTCCATCACTTCTTTCATATTATGTATATATTAATGGGAAGATATATGTAATTTTGCAGCCTTTAGTACACCAAACCCTTACTCTCTATACTCAAACTTTTTTTTTTTGGGTTGTTTTTTATCACTTCTCTTAAAAGCATCCAAAGTCTCTCCTAGGCCCTAAGAATTAAAAATTCAGCAAAAAGAAAATTAATAATAATAATAGAAGGACAGACAGAAACAAAAATTTAAGCAATGTGGAGAATTTGACAACCATTTTGATATATCTGTATACAGATGAGTGCATGCATTAAATAAACTAAAAGTTCACTTTTATGCCTTTATAAAATAAAGGTGTTTTTGGTTCGAGGGTTTTGAAACTATCCATGTATTTTTTTTAATACAACGTAAAGGGGTGGAAGATCGAACTCACAACCTTTTGGTTGGAGATACATGTCAATTACCGTTGAGTTATGCTCGTTTTGGTTATCTATGTATTTGTTTATTTTGTTATATGGTGTATAAATCAAAAGTTATTTTTAAGAAAAAGGAAAAAGATATCAATTGTTCTTCGTGCAGGTATCAATACCTTTATTTGAGAGTGCATAAATACCCCTCTTTCAACAGTAGAAATGTACTTTGGTACCATGATTTTTGTTCTATTCTATAGTTTATTTGGCTTGAGAAAAACAACCGTATATTTTCTGATAAGCGTAGAATGACTGTCGACTTGGTCCACTAAATTGTCTTTATTTTGTAATTAAGACATTTCCACCCCTTCTTTAAATTTGAGAGTTTTTACTTAACCTTCCTCTCTCTCCCTCTAATGCAAGTATGTTTCTCACATAACGGTATTCCTCTTTTTCAAAAATATCAAAAAAATTATGGGGAAGCAAACTTGTAATTGTTATAAACATAAACAAAAAATGAGACCCTAATTGAATAGGGTCTAAGAGAGTTAATTTGAACCATAAACTTGAATAAACAATTTAAATATTGTTTAATTATCTAATATATTATTTGTCTCACTTTTGTTACCTCTGTATTCACATTTTATTTGTTTGAACTTAAAAAAATAAGTGAAAATTAATGTATGGTTGAATCTCAGTAGAAAAACTGTTCATGAAGCATGCAATAAATCATATTAAAATAACAAAACCAATCAAAATCAACCAATTTGAACATAGCTCATTGACAATTTTCACATCCACATTCTGAGGTAAATATTTGGAAAGAAAAAATTCACTTGAAATCAAGTTAAAAAATACCCAAACTCTGCCACACCAAAACTTAACTACAAATCATTAGTAACATTGCTCAGTTCACAGATTAAAAAAAAACTGAATAGAAATAAAAAAGAAAAAGGTAAGCAATTAATGAAGTGCCTTCAACTCTACAACTTTGTCATATTGGATATAATATTAATATAATTTTGGTTTGTGCACTGTTTAACTTTGTTATATAATATTTTCAATCAGCTTGAATATAAGGTATATGCATAAATATACATTATAGCATATTGATAGAACAAACAACAAGATTTATGGGCTCAAATGGTCTAATTCAATTATCGCTACTTTCAACCTTTAATTAATGTAAGATTTGTTGTCCAACCTAAACCTAGTTCAACGGGTTAAAACATGATCTAGTAAAAAAGTGGTATGTTCAAAACCTAATCCCACATGTTTTTTACAAATATGAGATATTGAAATTTGAACTTCTGATTCTTAAGAGAAGTGTATGTCATTTGCTGTCAAGCTTGAGTATAGTTTTGAAATTGTGTTTTTCTTTTCCTTTATAATTTTTGATTTATGAGTAAGATTTCAAAATTGTTTTTAAAAATAACTGAAAATCCATACCAAAATGAAAAAAAAATTACTAAAAAATTAGTACAAACATACCAAAATGATTTGTTACACGAAGGCTTATGGAAAAGATAGAACAATTATAAAACGTAAACCATTTTTTTGTTCTAAACCACATCATTTAGAACACAACTTTCCAAAATCAACCATGTAGTTTTTCAAATTTCTAAATTTTAACTAAAAATTCAAAAGTATATATATATATATTTTTTAGTCCAACAATTACAGAGCAGAATCGAATCTTCAACTTTAAATATAATGATTGATTTCTTGTCTACTAAATTTGGATGGGGCCGAAAAGTATTTCTAAAACTTAATGAAATCAATAAACTAATTGTAAATAAAAACAACCCTACTTTACAAAAAGATAAAAGAATAGATATAAAATTATCTCCAACATAATCAAACATGAGAAATGAGACTTTTAGAGTTTATTCGTAATGTTTTTATTTCTTGTTTTTCTTTTCTTAGAAAAATGAAAACATAAATATATTTGATAAACTATATATTTATTGTTTTTTGTCCGTTCTTTTCTTATTATTAAAAAAGAAATAGAATCATGTATTTTAACCATTTATTGTTTCTCGTTTTCTAAAATTGTAAATTAAAAAAATTTTGTTTTTATATAAAAATTATTTTTTTAATTAAATATTCAAAATTTTATGTTATTCTTTTTTTCTAAAAGAAATTGTTATATATATATATATTAATACTCGATATGCATTTTGTAAGTCAAGGATGGTGAAGTAATATTTGTTATTATGTTTTGAAAAAAACTGGAAACAAAAATAAGAAACTTAGGCCTGTTTGGCAATTTTCTCATTTCTTGTTTCCACTTTTATTACCAAATATAAGCATTTTGCAATTATTTATGTGTCTTGTTTCTCATTTTTTAGAAACATTCTCGAAATGATAGAAATTTTGAAAACAACATAAACATATTTTTCTTGTTTCTTATTCTCATATTTTCAATTTGTATAACATAAATGAAAACATTTTTATCACTTTGAAATCCATGGCGTTGGGAGTCATAAAGACAAAAAACGAGAACATTACCAAACAGACTATCGTGCTGTTTCTAATATTTCTATAAAATTTCAGTATCGTTTCTAAAATAAGAAACTTAAATAGTTACAAAACAGTTATATTTCTCAAAAGTCGGAAACAAAAAACAAGAAACAAGAAACTACCTTAGCCTTACAAATCCATCAAAGAGCAAATCAAAAGGCTATTACCTCCTCTGGCTTGAATTCATTTTAATTTCATACATCTCATCAGGTTCTAGAGTTAGATTACATGCTCCCTCTAGCCCCATTGACAAAAAACCAAAGCTACACTAAATAATTTGCTGTTGAACTCATGAAATCTTTAAATATATAGGCATTTTGTGACACACCCAAATGCAAGAACAGTGGCCTCAAATTGCCATAAAAACCAAAACCCTAAAATCCATCTCTCCTCTCTTTATATTTTTATACATATAGGGAACAAACCATACATCATCAGCATCAGCAGCATAGGGCTGGTTCTGTTCTGGTCTATCTATATTTCCAAATAAATACCAATCTGCTCTCTATTTCTTAAACAGAGAACTATACAATTTTGGTAATCTCAGACCTAAAACTAGAATTCCCTTTTTTTTCTTTTCTTTTCTCATTTAATAGATATTGATGATGATGATGATTATGAATGATGAATATTCTTTAGGGGTAGCTTTGTAATTATGGAAGTTTTTTTTTTTCTATTTATGCTAATGCCTATGAATAGTAGAGAGAAATTAAAATAAACTTCACTACTGTTTCTGTTTGTTTGGTTTGCCCTTTCTATTTACTACTACTATTCTCCACCTAGATCCTTTCTTTCTCCATCATTTGACCTACCCACCCTTTTCTTTTTGGAGGAGAATTAATTGCAGGGTGACCATATGGATATGGCCTTTACCAGCTATATATAATATAAATATTTTGTTTAAAATCTAAGTATTTAATGTGTCATTCTCTTTGCCAATTGGAAACCTACCCTTTTTTCTTAAAAAAAAAAAGAAAGATTTAATCTTGGGTTGAATTTCTATCTAGTTTAAAACTAGTATTTTGTTACGTTTTATCTTACATTTAGGAAAATTTATAATTTTTATTCTTGTATATATATGGTGGTTTGATAAATTATTTTTAACATTAGACTATTAATTTCCCTCCCGTGTCCAGAAGTCAAAAAAAAAAACATTAGACTATTAATTTAATTTGGATTAAAGTTGATTCTAAATTTGGATACTTGATGAAATTAATTTCTATATTTTTGAAGTTTTGAACCATTTGGGTGGCTCATTGGTCAAAAAGGGTCAAGTAAATCAAAAGAATTTAGAGTGAAATGAGTTCAATTAACATGATGGCCACTACGTATGTAGGAATTAGGGTCAGGCGGTTGTCCCGTGAGATTAGTCGAGGTGAGTGCAAATGAGTCTGAATACTCACGGATATATAAAAAAAAATTAAGAAAATATGAAATTTGGGATTCAAACTTACGATCTTTTGGTCAGAGACACATGCTTGTATTCTGGTTGGCTTGGACTCTTTTGTTAACGCCAGTGTACTTTTAGCATTTTGGATGTGATATTGGTGCTCAATTTTAAATTTTACTCAAACTAGAACAATATTTCTAATAGTATGATATAGATATTAATACAATTAATCATCTTATTATTTCTTTATAACTCTTAAACAGGTAATATTTAGTATTGAAATTAATGTATAAATGGTAGTTCAGAGATTTACTAAAATAAGGATAATAACAGTGTCTAACCATGGTTTATCCATTTATTTATTATCGTCAATATTTAATTTATTATTGAAATTAATATATTAAGTTTATTTATATATTTACTAAAAGAAAAAGGGTAATATTGTCTATAAAAACTATCATAGACTGACCTAATAGTATTAAACATTGTGAAAAAAGTGTGGGAATGGGAGATCGAACTCACAATACCTTTTGGTTGAAGATATATGTCAATCACCATTGAGCTATGCTCACTCTGGCAAGCATTGTGACAAAAGGTTAGACTTTTGGCAACCTACTCATAATAAAATCCAACAAATTTCTTCTCGACTAAATGTTTTCTCTTTTTAATACACCATGTGAATAGAGATTTGAACTCACACGACATTTTAGTTGGGATATATATCTTAACTAGTTAAACTATATTTATGTTAGCCCCAACTAAATGTTAATATTGATTATTTTATATCATAATTTATTGTTATTTGTTTAGTGTATATGTGATAATTTAGGGTAACAATTGAAGTATCTAATATAGTAATCTTTAGTTTCATTATTTGATTCATAAAATCATGAACTCTTTTTTTAGTTGAACTATATGTGGTGAATAGGGATTCGAAGATCGATCAATGATATATGTCTTAAATAATTAAACTATGCTCAAGTTTGCATGTTCATGAAGTTTATATTAACAAGTTTCAGTCACGTGAGATGTGGTGGACTCTTAAAACTTTATATTATATTACAAATTTAGTCTTTAAAATTTCAAATTTGTGTAATTTACTTTAACAGGTATCTAATGGGTCTCTAAATTACTTGTAATTTTGTATCTAGTAACTCCCTATTTTTTCTTTTAAGTGTCTAATTGGTGAATTGTGTGTATCTCATAAGTCCTAGAACTTTTAATTTTGTATCTAATAATTCTTCACCTATTTGATATTTTTCAAGTTCATGGATCTATTAGACAAAATTTAAAGCTTATAATTCTATTTAAATACAAAATTTAATGTTCGGAAACTTAATAAACACTCTAAAGTATATGGGTTTATTTGACACAAAATTGAAATTTTAGGAACCTATTCGACAATTTCTCAAGTTTAAAAACTTATTAGACATAAACCTAAAAGTTTAAGTACTAGACTTTGAAATTTAAACTGTTTATAAAAAATATTGTGCATGGTAGTGGGTGACATTTTAATAAATATATATGGTGCATGGTTGTTGGTGACATTTTATATAATACAATGATCCAAGTCAAAACAGACTCAACTTATTGCCAACTTCCCCCACCAAAACTTCAAGGTTTGATAAGCCTAATTTCAAAGATTTTGGCTTATGTTATATAATTCTAGATTAAGAATTCATGTCAACATTTGATAAAACTATGAGCTTGTTCATCTTGTTACATTAATATAATTTAGACTTTATTAACCCATATTCAAATAAAAATAAATAAAATAAGGCACGTGTTAGTTTTTATATAAAATATACTTTGTATACAATCAAGACATAGACTTTCCTTTCAAAAAAAAAAAAAAAGCATAGACTTTATAAATTCGTCCCCATTAAAATTGTAAGCCAAACATCTTTTACAAATTACTTAGAAGTCTTGAGTGCTTTATTTTATTTTATTTTTTTAATTTCCATCTTTTGAGTGATCAAATTCTAACTTTAAAAAGGCAAAAAATAAAAAATAAAATTACCCTCCCGAATGAGGATTTCATTGAATTTTTACCAAAAAAACTTTGAATAACAGTTCAATCTAGTTAAAAAGGGAAATCAGGCAAGAAAAGTTAAGGCCGTGTAATACAATTTTGTTTTCAGCATTTTTTTGTTTTCGAAAAGTGAACTTGCGAACACTATTTTAATTTATATATTTCTTTGTTTTCCATCTTCATTTTGAAAACGTTTGCAAAATTTAAGCTATTAACCACTCATATTTGTTTTTTAAATTTAGATGAGTTTAAATGTGTTTGAAGAAAGGTGAAAACATTGTGAAAAAACAAACATAATTTTAACAAATATAAAATTAAAAACTAAATGAAACTAGAGCTAAATTACCATTTTAGTTGAGTTTGGTTTCAATTTGATCCCTTAATTTTTAAAAGTTTCATTACAGCTCCTGTTATTTAGTTAAATACATCAAAACTCTATCATAATAATTTTCTTGCGTGACACGTTTTCCTAAGAGACATGATAGAGAGTAGCAATGAACTAGCATTTAGTATAAGGATACATGCGAAGGTTAAAGTTCCTAAGAGAAAAACATTTTGACAGGCATTAGTCGAATTTATTTTTACTTTTACTTCTAATTTGATGAAGAAAGAAAACCAGAAACTATTGTCATTGCACATCATGAAATCTCAGAAAAAAGTGAGGTGTTCATGAATCATGTATAGTTTTATTAACACTTTCCCATATCATCCTTAGCAACAACAGAAAATAAAACTTTACATACATCAAACCAATACAATAACATGTAACACAATTCACAATAGGACAGTGTGTAGATGATCAGTGTGAGAAGCAGCTTTAAAAACAAAGGAGATGAGGAAGAAATTTAGGTGAGGCAATCATTTTGGAGAAACTCTTTCATCTGTCTCATCTAAGGCAAGTTTTCCCTGCATCCAGCCCTGCAGCATTTGAAGTGCAGCCTTTGGCTGATCCATTGGCACCATATGACCAGCATTATGAACCTGCACAAACCACCACACTTTCCCAAATGATTCAAAAAATCCTCTACTTTAGGGTAGAACTAGAAGCTATATGGAGTGCAGCTGAATGACTAATTGTTTCGTCTAAGCATTGGGCCGAAACAAATATTCGAGTATGCATGTGAGAGGGGCATTAAAGAATGAAGGTTAAATGAGAAGTTTAATCCTCGAACTTCCATATTGTGTCTAATAAGTCTCTAATCTTCCAATTTTATGTTTAATAAGTTCCTGAATTTAAAAAAAAATGTCTAATAGGTCAGACCGTCAGAGCCTTATTTGACACAACATTGGAAGTTTAGAGATCCAATCTACTGGACACTCTAAAGTTTCGAGATCTTTTACCTACAATAGAAAGTTTATAGACCTATTTAGATACTTTTTAAAGTTCAAGTACATGTTAAACACAATTCTCAAAAGAAAGGAATCTTCGCATCTTCCATAACACTTCTCGTCTTTTTTAGAATTTTTGTAGGTGTACTAATTTCTACTTGGTGTTTAAATCATAGGAAATTATTTTGTAACTACAGTCTATGATAGACCAAGATTGGAAAGGTGTAATTCACAAGCTGTTTTAGGGAGGGGCCCTCTCATCCCCTGCCCTTATGCTGTTTTATTGCCTTGCCTCTAATATGTTTTATGTTTCCTATCAAAAAAATAAAAAATAAAAAATGGGGCTAGACTTATAATTTAACCAATGAAAAAAGTTAAATTTGCTCTAAGTTTTTTGGTCTAGTTAATTGTCTAACTTCTAAGTGGCAATGTTCAAATGTTTGTTATTCATATCTGGGGGGGGAGAGAGAGAGAGAGACCTTTAGGAAAGAGAGAGGACCATGGCTTTTGAGAAGCCCAGCTTCTTTGCCATCTACTAGGAATGGAACAATTTTGGATGCTGCAAATTCTTTCTGACCAGACCAATTCATTTCATGAACCCACCTTGAATTCCCTTCAAATTTCAAAACAAAAGTAAAGATTCTTTTAGAAACATTTTCCAGAAAATAATGGGACTTCAAAAGGTAAAGGATTTCGAGATACAAGCATCGAAAACTTACCAAGCCAATTGCATATCAGATCATATTCACCAGCATACACCAGCACCTTTATTCCATCATCAATGAGAGCTGGAATCCCAACCTCAAGATTTCTCATCCAATCCACAAGCATGGCACTGTAAACCTTACTACTGCACGACATGAAGTCCAAATCCCCGACCCCGAGCGCATTCCTTACTGATTTTTGGTTGAGGAATTTCTCCATGTTCGAGAAGTCATAACAAAGATTTCCAATGCATTCCTTTCTGACATCATAGTACTGCATAAGAAAGACGTGACAGAGTTTTCATCATAGGGAAATGGTAATATTTTCATCACTAAATTCAACATGGTACTTCAACTACAAGATTTGATTGTTTAGTTTATCCGTTCTTACATTTTTGTCTCCAACGATACTCATGATTCTATTGAATATGTTGTTGCATACGATGTAAGACGATACACAAGCACTTCCACCATCAGTACCTGATGGATTCATTACATAGTAAAGCAGACCAAAGAGAACTTACTTGGTCATATCTCATGACATTAAGTATTCGAAAGAAACTTTTATGGATATTTAGAAAGTTACCACAAATTTTGATTGCTTTCTCACAGGCTGGGACCAACTTGTTGATCTTGTTGAAGTCAGATTTTCCAATCAGTCCCATCTCCAAGGCATAATCAGTGTATGCTTTATACTGAATTTCGGGATTTGTAAGGCCGTTGCCGATCGCAAAACCCTGGTAAAGCACTCGATTTATAAGTTTGGTTAAGAGAATGGAAGAAAGAAAACATGTTGAATCAGGGAAAATATGTAATATAGGTACCTTAAGATTTATGTGGATTCCCTGTTTTCCTTTATTTCCTTCGTGAACTCTGGCTGCAAATGCAGGAATGTAGTGCCCAGCATATGATTCGCCAGTGATGTAAAAGTCGTTTGCAGCAAATTCTTTATGCTCAGCAAAAAATGCCTGAGAATATGAGAACAACCAAAAGGAAAGGGGAAGAGATTTGGTTAATCTCATAGGATCTCTTGCCATCACACGTTGTATCAAAGTGCTGTTATACTAGATGAAAACGAAGGGAAAATGTAGTACCTGCAAGAAGTCATACAAGTCATTGCTAACGCCTTCTTCATCGTGACGAATGTCTTCGTCATCAGAAGTGTAACTGAAACCTGTTCCGGTGGGCTGGTCGACATAGATAAGATTTGATGCCTGCATACAAGGATCCAAAACAACTGAAATCAGATGAAGAAGTATAAGAGAATGATTTCGAATACAAAACAGTAAAGCAGGAAGCGACCTTATCCCAGCCATAGTCATTCCAAACAAGAGACAAGTTGTTTGCAATTTGGAATGGACCGTTTTCATAGAACATAGCAAGCTCACTGCTACACCCTGGCCCTCCTGTTAACCATATCACAACTGGGTCCTTCTTGCTGTTTCTTGATTCAAAGAACAAGTAGAACATCCTGCAATATATGAGTTATGAATAAAGAAAATATATCAGTCCTGTGAAAGTTCCCAAAAACCGAACATTAGGAGGGAGCCGGGAAATACAGAAAGGAATCCCGAATTCAAATGATAACCAACAAATGAAAAGATTCCTTGTTCTTTTTTTAATTAGTAAGTTGTATATCCTTCGCATGAATATACAGGTCAATGCAAAGTCTCTTCAGTTGGAACTAATTAGAATCAAGAGTAATTCATTCACAACTTGAGTTATAAAAGATTCACAGTCAAGATTACAACAGAAATAAACAAAATTTTAGAGACTACTAGTCAAACCAATCTTGTGATAGTAAAATTTATAACAGGCATAAACAAAATTTTAGAGAGACTAGTCAAACTAATCTTGTCCATAGGGTGAATAACTTGTTTGTATCCACAGAAAAAACATCCTTTTTTTCCTTCTTTTCTTCATCGCATTATCAGATTTGGAATGAAGAATCAAAGACAAAGTACAATGGCATCTTATATAATATGTAGCAGGTATAGTTATAAAACTCTGATTGATGTGCTTAATTACCTTGCTGATTTAGTATGAGGAAGGGGATAATACCCAGCATGGTGGCCAAGTTCTTGAACTGATGGGTCTTGACTTTTTCTTCCAAGGAAAGGGAACTGAAAGCTTTTTTCGACGATTCCCGAAGAAGAAAATGAAGGGTCTTCTGTTGCAATGTTAACGGATTCCTTGGGGAACAAGTTGAGGTCTCTAATGAGCTTCTCTGCTTGAAGGATTGGATAGTTGATTGTTGAAGATATGGTGGGTTGGTCTTGGTTTGGAGAAGTTGCAGAAGCCAATGACATAGGAAGGAGCAGAAGGAAAAAAAGACAAATGTGAGGAAAAGAAGTTGCCATTTTTTGTGTACAAGAAGGGATATATCTCTTCCGACTATGGTTGAGGATATATATAAGGTTCTGTTAAAAGCAGATGAACTACCTATTTTACTTGGCTGATAAGGCTAAAACAAACTTGGAGTGAAGAATGTCTAAAGTTATAAAGAGAGAGAGAGAGAGCCTAGAGTGGGTGGGTGGGGATTTGGGAGATGGAGTTGTAGAAAGAAAAAGCAAAGTTAAAAGAAGCTCTACTCATTGAGCAAATACTTAAAAGAGAAAAACAGGAAGAAAAGAAGGAAAGAAAAGTGGGTTTTGATATTTCTCTCCAATTAGCTCTGAAATAACAAGAGCTGAAGTATTATCTATTCATAGCATCACGGGATGAATAAGCACAGCTGCAGAGCCAAAGGGAATCAAACAGGACAAGAATTATAAATGTTCTCTGGAATTATCAAAATGTTAATAATAAACATTAGAATAAGTGGCCTATTCCAACCAATAATCCAGAGCAAGAAGATTATGACAAGCAAAACTTGACGTGCCTTAAAGGCTTGGCCAAAATGCGTCTTCATCTTCATTCTCTCTTTCTCTCGCCAACTTTTCTTTTGCAAAAGAATAGAATCAAATACGTCTATGATAAGGAACTCCACTTTCTACTTGATTGGTCTAACATTCCCGTCACTTACCACCACCACTCTTTCTCAACATCCAAGATGCTCTATCTCATCGGTTCACTTCAATAAATAAAGCCTCAAAACCTTCTTTTTTCAACTTTTTTAACTGCCTTCATCTGAATATGGACAATTTTGACAGGTCCCTGTTACTGTATGGCAGACTATATTGTACTTTTAAAAGGAAAAGATAGATCACCATGTAAATAGAGAAAGAAACGTAATGCATTTACACAGACATTAGATGATAGAACAATGTAGCATTGTTTATATTCTGTTAAGCAGATTAGATACAATATACATATAACAGTTAGTTTCCGTCTCCGCCTCCATCTCCTCCCTCTACCTATCGCTTTAACAAATATACTCTCAGTTTATGAATCTTGATCAAACAAACATGCACAAGAGAAAATTCAATATGACGCTCATCTTCTCTCTCATAAGATACAAGGACAAGTAATGTTGAGGCTCAAATTGAGTTATGGCCAGTTTGACATTGTTACGTGAAATATCAAATTTATGATCTAACTTTTGCAAGCCGAGCCCTTATTTCTTCTAGTTCTTCCTCATCATCGACACCCTCAGCAATTGCTTCTTCCTGAAAAGAAATAAGTATGTCATGATGCTTATTCCTTCACATTTCTATGACCAGAACTAAAACAGGATCAAGTTTCACGGGTACTCAAGAGTATGCAATATATACCTCTTCTCTGACTTCCTGCACATGAGCCGGTTGCTTCATCCTTTCCTTCCTGACGGCTTCTGGAAGCTGTGCAGCGGTCTCGCCAGCTATGGCAGTCAAAACTTTGTCAACTTCCTCTTCAATCTCTTCTTCTATATCCTCAGAATCTAGTGCTGAATCAACCGCATCATTCACAATTTCCTCGATCACCCCAGCCTATAGACATCAGATATCAATAGCACTTTCTAACGAGGGCATTCTAATGAAAACATATAGATTCAGCATTGTAGATTAGTTAAGCATAGAACAGAGACTTGACAGCCGACTAAGAGCAAGTTCCATTTCAATTAATGTCTACAAACAGAAGACAAGCACAAGAAGGGTAGTGTAATAGTAAGGTTTTTTCCCTCATTCTACCAGATGGAAAGAAAAGATCAAACCAGTTATGAGAACCAGGATCAAGAAATCACAACCAGATTAAAACGGATTCTTATTTACACGTGGAAAAAAGTTGATCATTAATAATAATGTTCAACCAACTGTAGGTCAGTGCTATGTTCATAACCTCAACCAAACAGAGAGCTAAAAATTGCTTCTATTCTGAAAAAAGATACCTTGGTCATCTCCTTGCTAAACTCTTGCATTGTAATTGCCATTTCTGGGGCCTTCATCAGGTTATTAACAAGCTTCATAACTTCAGCACTCTTTGAAAGATGCCCCACCGTTCTCGCAATAGCTGCAAAATTGGTAGACTTTCAAACAAGGGTATCCAGAATCCCAGTTAACTGATCATATTCAAACTTCTTAGAGAAATAAAGCTGTTGCACTTTAATACAAAAAGTTATCCTCGTTAAGAATCCCTTCTCCTTCCCTCCTTCTATATATTTATAAATTTAATACACGTAATGTCTTCGCTATTCATTGCCATCCAACAAATGATGAAATACTCAATAAGAAAACAAAAACCTTAGCACATAATTTTTTACAGTATACTTAAATTCTACCTATAGAGCTTGTCATGATCATCAAATCATCTGCTTGACAATATACCTCTATTTCCCTCAACACATTGCCAAAAAACCTAGTCGAACTGCCACATGTTATACCAGCTACACCCTCAAATGCATCTCTCCCTAGCTCATCAAACTAAGAAAATCTCTACATTTAATTAAGTTGTTGGAGCTGATAAGACAGCAAAGAAACCTAAAAGTTACTTCAAATTTTAAGAAATGTAAACATAATACCAACACTTTCGCCGAGGTGCATGGATATCGAATTAAGTTGTGCCTTATTTTCGTGAAGACGGTTCACAGTTTTTCTAGACCTCACAAGTTCTTTGGCAAGTGCCTGAAAAACAAATACGGGACAATATTAAACAGCAAGAGATAGAAGGTTATAATTCCAAAACAACTAGGGATAGACCCAGTGTACTAAATTATGATCACTCTCCAATGTCCATATCCAAGATGAACCCCAATGGATAGGGAGAACATATGAACGCTCAAGATCAAACTGAAACCAGCCACCTTAGACAAAGTTCACAGTGGAATAAAAAGAAGTTGAGCACAACAAATGCAAGCAAACATTGTTCCA